TTATTAACTTGAGATAGTCATAAAATTTATGAACTTCAGATCTTAAATTCGTCTCTAATTAAAATTTAGAATGACCCCAAGTTAGGAAGGAGGAGGTTCAGTGCGGATCAAGTATTGTACTTGGACGATGTTTTATTAATACTTACATGAGTTGGTTTGTTTGGTGGAGACTAAGCCCATCGAGTGATCGAAAAGACAAATAAACAGGGGACGTTCGACATATAGGGAGACCAACAGTAGGCAGTGTATGGAAAAGTGTTTAATAACTCCAGAAGTTGTAGTAACTTTTAAGCACCATGCATTTCAAGATTATGGATAAATTATCTGACCAACACGATTTCACAATTAGTGTCTTTGACCGGTTGCAGCATAAAGTTTATTTATACTCCCTCCGTCCCTATTTAGTTGTCCATATTTCCTTTTTTAGTTGTCCCTATTTAGTTGTCCATTTTGACAAATCAAGAAAGGACAACAAATTTTTTCCTATTATACGGTTATACCCTTATTTACACTTCTTGAAAATTGTAAAAGTGTATGTTGTTTCCCTCCAATTTATTTCACTTGAATTCAAATAAGTGGTTGTAATTTTGAAGTGAAAAGTTGTCATAAGGGTAAAATTGTAACTTCACTGTGCTAATCATTGTTGCCTTAATCTGTGTGCCATTTCTAAAGTGGACAACTAAAAAGGGACGGAGGGAGTAGTTTTTTAAGAAGTGTACAAAGTCAATAGTAGACAAATATTGTTGGACAGAGAGAAATATATTTCGAATACCAAATAATTATACCAACAAAAATAAAAATCAAACCATTTACTGTGGATTTCTTGGGTAAAACTAAAGAAACATTTTTTTTTTACCGGGAATTGCATTTTACTAAAAAAAAAAATGACACCAGGTGGAGAGATTTTGGCTTTTAAATAGGTGGGTCCCCAGTACAGATCTGTGCTTTACACCATCAAGACAAGTAGGACCTTTTTGTGTCGGTTCTTAGAAGCCCCAAAAGGATGAGAAAAAAAAAGGTAAAAAAATACTTAGAAGAAAAAGTCGCTTACTCTTAAGCTATTAAAAAAATACTACTACTTAACAAGGTCCAGAGAATTTGACTTCATTATCTATCTTAATCTATAGAGTTGGTACTAATTTTTTATTTTTTATTTTTAAAAAAGTTCAAACGAAGAGTCAAATTGAGCTGTCATTATTCTGCACCTCCACATAAGCCTAAGGCCAAAAGGCAGTTGAGCCATCTGTGTCATCCTCTTAAGCAATCCATTCAGAATTTGGTCTTTTTCTCTGTATTCACTTAAACTTTTCCACTAAAACAAATCACCGATAAAATTGGTACAATGGTACAGCACCAGTGACATACCATTCCAGCAATAACTAGGATTTTTCCTAAACAAATTTCTGCGTAATAGTGACAAAAAAGGAACACTTTAAAGCCAAGAAAAATGAAAAGTTAGCACAAAATGGACCCCCCTTTGACCCAAACAGTTCAGTCTGCACACGAGTTGAGTTTATTTTAGTCATAAAAATCCCAAGAACCAGACAAAGATTTTGATTCCCGCGCTTGGTTTAGTTTAAGAGTTAAACAGTTTGATAAACTCATTGTCTCCTTTCTGTTTTTGTCTAATACATGAATCTTAATTACATTATTATAATACTAAAATACAAAAAAATGCAGGATTAGTATGATGAAGCATGCTAAAACTGTATATAATGGTTGGTCATTATCCACAGTAAACCTACCTTTCTTTCATTATTTAGTGGGATTAATCCCGCGGCTCGACGGTGGGGGTGGTGCTCTATGTGTTGAAAAAGAAAAAGAGTTTACGGTAGAGCAAAAGAATAGTTACATTTTCTATTTTGTCAGATAAGATAATTTAGAAGAATAGAGGTGGAAACGGATTGTCTACACTTTAAAAGAATAGAGACATATAAATGTATAAATTTTTCCAGCAAATGAAGGTCACGAACATGAAGAAGTTGTACTAGTTTAGAAACAAGTGATCAAGGAAATGAAGTTTTTACTTCTGGCTAATATAAGCAATGTAGCTTATGGACGATTTTAATATTCTATTTAGTATTTTCCAACAACATATCCAATGTAGTCTCACAAAGTGTTTGAAAGGATAGAGTGTACGCAGATTTTATTCCTACCTCAGAGGTTAAGAGACTATTTCCGATAGACTATGGGATGTTCGGTATTTTCCAATGTTACAAAAAGGACAAGATAAGATAATTTAGTAGAGAACCTGATACAGTTGTTGCCTCAATATCTAGGATACTCCAATTAGAATCACTGCTAATGTAATTTAAGATTCAGACTTTGACATGGTATAACCAACTACAGCTGAAGAATAAGATCTAAGATGAGATCTAAATTGAATCTTAATTCATTACATTTTGTTTGAAAGACAGTATTTAACTTAGATATTGGGAAGATTTTTGATGTAGCTGATGCAACCATTAGATTTTGTAGTTGTTGTAATCCATCTTGATGATTGATTTCATATTTCCAAATGGAAGCAAGAGATGACTTTAAATCCAATTTTTCACCCTATTAAATTTGTGAATTAAGGGAATATTTATTTTTTTCCTAATAAAGCTCCTAAAGATATGCAAGTAATCCCTCAGTTTTGTGTGTTTTAAGACCTTTAAAAGATTATCTACACAGAGAGAGAAATAATTAGAGGAAGGATCGTGTAAGCTTCATCGTTATGTTAGGCTTTTTCTTTTACAATTTTTTAAATATGGCCGTTGACAAAAGAATGAGGGTATTCTCAACGCAAAATAATTCGGGCTATACTATTATTATCTCCAACTACTAGTACAGCTTTTTTTGAGCAACCAACTTGAAAAAACAATAAAAAATATTATTCTAATTAGTTGTAATTCTAGCCTGCCTATTTAAGAACTACTCCTCGTGGATATGGAGTACATGACAGCAGTTTCTTCTCATTCTACAAGTCTTTTTCTCTCAACATCTCCTACCATTACTCTTCCACTTCTTCCTTTTGATAATAAAATTAAAACAATACATTTCTTTTTCCTTGAACAATTTCTCAGTCTCTTATCAAGCTATTGTATACCTGCCTGCAACATACATTTCCACTTATATAGGGGCACCTAATACATATTACTACTACGATGATATCAGTTGGTATGAGCATTGGGGCTTTTCTGATTTTGATCATTATACATTGGGTTTACAACTGGAGGAATCCCAGATGCAATGGAAAACTCCCACCAGGTTCAATGGGCTGGCCGTTACTCGGCGAGACCATTCAGTTCTTTACCCCAAATACAACATCAGATATTGCTCCCTTTGTGAAGGAGAGGATGAAAAGGTGGTTACTGCAATCCACTCTTTTGGATTTTATATATTTTAGTAGTAATACTACAAATTGACATTTACTGGACTTCATTTTACCATCCTAGTAAATTAGTTTTTGGCAATTTATTTCAGGTATGGGCCGATTTTCCGCACTAGCGTGGTGGGCCGTCCTGTTATAGTATCTACAGACCCAGACCTTAATTACTTCATCTTTCAGCAAGAAGGACAGTCGTTTCAGAGCTGGTATCCAGATACATTCACTGAGATATTCGGAAGGCAAAATGTAGGTTCCTTGCATGGTTTCATGTACAAGTACTTGAAGAACATGGTACTAAACCTTTTTGGTTCTGAAAGTCTGAAAAAGATGCTGCCTGAGGTTGAAGAGGTAGCGAAAAATAAATTGAAGAGGTGGTCAGGTCAGACAAGTGTAGAGATGAAGGAAGCAACTGCCAATGTAAGTTAGCCAAAATCCCCCCTTCAGTAATAAAGGGGAGCCTGGTGCACAAAACTCCCACTGTGCGCGAGATACGGGAAAGGACCAGACCACATTGGGTCGTATGTATGCAGCCTAACCTTGCTTTCTGCAAGAGGCTATTTCCGCAGCTTGAATCTATGACCTCCTGTCACATGGCTGGAACTTTATTAGTTGCACCAAGGCTCCCCTTCAAAATTCCCTTGTAGTACTATATTATAAAGTTCTCAATTTTAATCAGAATATCTCCTGGTGTTTCTGCAGATGATATTTGATCTAACTGCCAAAAAGCTAATCAGCTATGATTCTGAGACCTCACCAGAAAATCTGCGGGAATGTTTTGTAGCTTTTATACAGGGGTTAATTTCCTTTCCTATAGACATTCCCGGAACAGCCTTTCATAAGTGCTTACAGGTACTAACACTTCCTATTTAGACTTAGCCATCTGGTACAAGAATGCAGTTCTACGAAATTCAGTTAGAATGGTGTGCCCATATACTTGTTAAAGTGATGAACTGACTCTAGAGGTGATCATCAGGGAAGAAAGAAGGCAATGAAGATGCTAAAGACAATGCTAGAGGAAAGAAGAGCAAAGCCTAGGAAGGAAGGAACTGATTTCTTTGATTATGTCCTAGAAGAACTTCAAAAGAATGACACAATCCTCACAGAGGCAATAGCTCTGGATTTGATGTTTGTACTGCTCTTTGCCAGCTTCGAGACCACCTCTCTGGCAATAACTTTAGCCACTAAATTTCTTCACGATCATCCTTTGGCTTTAAAAGAATTAACAGTAAGTGTGACTAATCTTCTCCCAACTTATCAACCTCATTACATGCCAGAATTAACGGGTACATAATGCCTTTCAGGAGGAACATGAGACAATAATTAGAAGCAGGGAAAATCCAGCTTCTGGACTTACATGGAAAGAATATAAATCAATGAAATTTACATTTCAGGTATTTCAATTAAAACTGATTTTCCATTTTCAAAATTCTTAGTAACCAGCACTAAGAACATTCTTCATTAATACTGGATGTGTAGGTTATTAATGAAACAGTCAGACTGGCAAATATTGTTCCTGCTATTTTCCGGAAAACACTAAGAGATATCAACTTCAAAGGTATATGATTAAAAATCTTTACCACCATCTTCTTGTGAATAAGGCTTCAGATATACTCATAGAAACATACCTTAATATAATACTTATCTGATGCAGGGTATACCATTCCAGCTGGTTGGGCGGTTATGGTTTGTCCTCCAGCTGTACACTTAAACCCTGCCAAATATCAAGATCCCCTTGACTTTAATCCGTGGAGATGGGAGGTGAGCCTTTCATAATTTATTTATTGTTACTTTTTTTGCACGACACTAAATGTTAGAGAAAATGAAAGTGGTTTTGTGTTATCATAGAGTGATTTCTCAACTCTACTATGAAATATTCATGGAATACAGGGAGTAGAAATAAATGGAGCAACTCGAAATTTCATGGCTTTTGGTGGTGGTATGAGATTTTGCGTTGGCACAGATTTCACTAAGGTGCAGATGGCTGTCTTTCTCCATTCCCTCGTGACCAAATACAGGTAAGAACATAACTCGCATTAATATCCTTGAGAAAGAAAGAGAGGGAGCTAATCAGTTATAACTGCTAATAACTGTCAGGTGGCAAACGATTGGAGGAGGAAACACAGTGCGGACTCCTGGTTTACAGTTTCCCAACGGTTACCACGTTAGGATCTCGGAAAAAGATGAGAAGATACTATAGCCAACACACGATAGATGGGATAGTCAGAAAAAGTGGCTACAGGCAATACCAGGAATTCAAACTTACCAGGATATTCTCAAAGCAGCAGGAGATATTGCCGCTGAAAGAATGCTGGGACAAAGAAAGAAAAAACTCAGCAAATCATTAGTCTGGGGAAATTTTGCTAAAATTTACTGATATGACGCCTATACATATATATTTTTTCTTTTATTTTCTTATTTTATGATTTAAATACAAAGTGTAGTTGTTATTGAAGAAGGAAAAAACAAAAAAAGTGTGTAAATTCAATACATGGTACAGTTTTGAATGAAGATGTCCTACTAGAATCAGAGAGTTCACTTTTTCCAGCTCCCCCATATTTCAGAACCCTGCTCTGCCCTGCAAAATATTCCTGGAAAATTTAGTTTGTAAGTTAAGAGAGGTCAAAAGCATATTATAAAGAAGAAAAAACAAATTTAACATCTTCTGTACATGAGATAGCAGCAAGGCTCTGACAATCGCTGTCAACCAGCTTTAGTCATTCTTTCCACTTGCTTTGCCTCTTATGATGTGTGTCATTTAAGATGGGATGTTTGTGCCTTAGATATTCCTCTTGATGTTCATCACCTCTCTTCTTGTTTATGATAGGTCCTCCCAAGGTTTCTCTCTCATTTGTTCGTCTGTGATGTCTTATGTGGTCGTCCTCCCCCTTCCTTGAACGAAGTGGCTTTGTGATACCTGAGCTCTTGGTTTTTCCATGTTTATGCTTATCCTTGTGCACATGATGAAGGTAGTAATGATAATCAGCTTCACCCAAAAGATTCTCACGCGGGTCATTGTGAAACCTTGTGTGCCTTCTATGATGCTTATGATGCCTTGGCTCGTTCTTATAACTTCTCTTATGATGATTTCTTAATGGGTCAGCATCATAATTGTGCTTCCTACGACTCATATGTTTATCTTCAGTAATTGAAAAATGATCCTCCCACCAGTCATACAGAGGATCAAAAAGACCTTTCTGGTGAAGAAGCCAGAGTAGTACAATCACTGCAAGTCATAATAGTAACATGCCATCAAATATTTGTCTTCTTTCAACTTCTAAAAGATCTCTATACAAACGTTATCTAAGCAAGAAACCTGTTGGAATAATTGCCAAGAACAGACAAAACATCACCACCCAACTGATGCAGATGTTCTGTATATGGCAGCTGAAGTCGAAGAATCCATAGCACTTCATTCTGTCCACAGAAAGATTCAGAGTTGCATAATCCAATTGAAAACAAATTAGACATAACTACTTTCTCTCAGGAAATAGACAGGACTTGGTCTTACTTTCAAAAAAATCTAACATCTACAGCAGACATCAGCAGACTAAAATAAATACTAACAAATTAATGTAAAAATTCATGCAAGTATATCTCCTCCTTCACTCAACAGCATTCTGCTACATAAGACAAATAATATCCTTAGGATGATAGAAAATATCTTGATGATATATTTCAAGCATTTGAAGTGATGGAAACAGCCAATTTCCTAATCAGAATAGAACCAATTTGCAAGAGAGAATTCAAAGTCTAGAAAAAGAGATGCATCAATTTCTCAAATAAAACTTCAATTGGTACATCTATGCTTGACACATTTCCTCAGGAATAAATCAAAAATTATATCACGTTTGATCCAGAAAGCAGAGGCAATATCTGAAGCACATGCCATATCATAATGTAGAAAGAACTGATAACTGAACCTAAGTAGCTATTTCAGTTCAGTTTGAAAAAATAATAATATTGTCAGTCTCCTATATTCAAATTTATACACTATCACCAATCTTTATAGTTAATATATGTAAAAGAATAACATTCTTTAGTCAACAAATATTTGTTGACAAAAGCTAATCAGAAAATTATTTGTCAAAAGAAAACTATTTCGACAATTAACATGAAAATTGAATTTATTTGATAGGAATGCTTAAATAACAACAACGTATCCAGTGTAATACCACAAGTGGGGTCTAGGAGAGGGTGGTGTGTAACTGGATCTTACCCCTACCTTGTGAGGTAGAGAGATTGTTTCTAAAAGATCCTCGGCTCAAGTAAAACATATAAGAGCAGGTTTGGAAAGGAAATACAATAGTGAAGAAGCCATTTTGAAAAGGAAAAAAAAAAAGAAATCAACAATATCAACATAGGAATACTTAAACATTATTCAAAAACCTTAAGTGATGTAATAAATCTTTAAATTCCCCATAATCATGGTTAAGCAGAGACCAATGTAAGACAGCCAGAAACTTAACATTGAGGGTATATCAATTCAAAGATATCTCAAACTCCTGCCTAGAGCACTCAAGTGTACATAACCTTACTGAAACTCAATTAGGAGAATGTAACTAGAGTGAAACTCAACTGAAAACACTGCAATTGACATAGAAGTCTCCCAAGAGTCTATGTATATATATTACTATATCTATATATATGCTTCATTGGTGATCATTTGAGTACCTGCAGCTTTTCCCAGTTAAAAAATCTGTCAAATTCTCCCACGTCTTTTTCCATAGATCCTCAATGCTCCCAAAGAAACCATTGATGTTTGTCTTAGGAGGTTGAAACGGAATCTGCAATAAGAAGACGACATGTGATCAGTGATACAAATAAGAGTGAGTGCAAGATATTACATATTTTATCTGACAGCCCTACCAACGATGTTTCTGAAGAATGGTTGAGAAACTTAGATCCTAGAGAGATCGGTCTTAGGATAATCTAATGGCAAAATGGATGGGTAGGAGGAGAAAAGGAAAGCAAATTTTCAAAAGCTAGTTTCACTATAGACTAATTGGAATCCAACTAAGCTATTCTTACTGGGAAATAAGACTGAAACTTCACTACCCTTTTTGAAAGTTCAGTTATTTACTTCAATCAGGCAAGAAGAGTAAAAAAAAAAAGATCTATTCCATTTTCTCTACCCTTTTTGCAAACTTAAGTCCACTTAGTTTCAACATATGACAAGCAGAAACAAAACTGTTTCCAGGTTGACAACTATACGGATTACCGAACAATGCAAAGATCATTACAACTGGAGAGAAGTATAACAGGGTGCTAAACAAATGCTTCAAGCTCAACATATATTTGAAATCTTATAGTCCCGTAGAAAAGAAGCACACATTGCCACTCTCTTTTCTATTAGCATCCGGCCTCTCCACAAACTAGTCATCCAAGGTGCTAAGATTTTAACACCATTGCTGGCTCAACTCCAAACTTGTGCATATAACAACTTTGAAAACATAGTACCTTCTCTCGTCAAGACTTCACTCAGACTGGCCCCCATCTAAATCTGTAAACTACACAGGAGCCAGGAAGAGAGTAACTTTCGTGGTCTCTCCGCTCCACTTTGTTGAAAACAAAATTAAATAAATAAAAGTGTGCTCTACTAATAGCTTAAGATTTTTGATGAGATGGTCACACATTTCAACATGGTATGAGAGCAGGTTGAGGTCTTGGATTCAAGTCTCACCACCACCCATTATTAAAAAAAAAACTTCCACCTGCTTGGCCCATAAAAAAACACAAGCCGCATGTGAGGGGTTTTGTTGGAAGACAAAATTAAATAAATAAAAGTACACGCTCTCAAACAACTTGAACTTTTAGATGAGATGGTCACATTTCAACACACTCTCCGCATCATGTAGCCCAGTATATCATTGTTATTTTTCCTTTTTTTATATTGCTAGAAAACAATATGCACACACGGTGTCTACCAAGATTTCCAGCATAAACTACAGCTGACCTGTGACCCATTGTCAAGAACAGTAGCTTTGGTTGTAAATTGACACTCTGCCCGATCAACTTCATTAAAATCTGAATCCTTCAGTATGGCTGCAACAAAAAGTAAACATAGAAAATTTGGCATCTTCGGGATCATCAACTACATTTCATTTCATGTCTTCCTCATTAATATATTACCTGAACAGACATACTTTGCAGCTTGATCACTTGCTGGGTACAACTTGAATGCCCGAGTCATGACTTCATTTGGCTTCATTATATAAAACTGTTCCTGCAGCACCATAAGGTTTACTAGAGTTATTTCTTCTTCTGAAAGTATCATGACTTTGTATCATATATCAGAAGTAGAGTAATGATGACCTCCATTTGGCTGACGCCGGCTGAGCAATCGAACTGCATGATAAGAAGGTCAATTATAAGAGTTTCACATATTATTTGAACGGATGAATGAAGCATATTTATGCCTCTACAAAAACTGCAAATTGACCGACTAAAATTAGAGTTAAGTCAACAGCCTTGTGATACTTTTATCAAGTTTCTGTATTCAGACATCTATGTTATTTACTAGAATTACGTAACAAAAATTTTGAACTTTCAGAATGAGAAAATGGGAAATGATGCATCAAGGACCTCTCAGATATTTAACAATTCTTCACTGGTGAAATTTGTTTAGATTAAACCTGGTGGTAGTACAATGGAAATTACCAAAAATTGATATATCAAAGCAAAGATAAACCAAGATAATGCTATAATCATGTAGCATGACTTATTCTGGGACTCCTTTATGTTTTTTCTTCCTTTTTACTTTTGTGGGTTGCAGAGGTGGGGGTGGTCTATCGAGCAGATCAGAGAGAGGAGTGCCCATCCAGAGCCAAAGCATGCTGTAGGCCTCAAAGTTGAACTGAGAGGAGGACTCGTCCAGGGCCAAAGCATCCTGCAGGCCTCAAAGTACTTTAGACGTACAGGTTATCCACCATAAGGGATGATAAAGACCTTTCAAGATTCAATCCTTACTAACTGAGCCAACTCATTTTTGGTTGGCGGCTTAATTCTGGGATGTGAATATGGAAGTTTATCCTTTTAGAAAGCATAGCAGAACACTAAACTGATTAGCTGATAACATACATATTTTAACTGTCTAAGCATAATGTAATTGTTTACCGTGAGGCTATAGGACGCTTCCACTTCACCTATATTTTTTGTTGTAACTGTTGCTGTTCCGAATTGAGTTAGAGCTTCAAAAGTTGGGATTGTAATGCTGAGAATTTTCCCAGGGCTCCTGCATAAAAGGACCAAACCAATCTTTCAAAATGTTCAATCAATACTCATAGTCTGTCCAAATTAATCTATACAGATGAAGTTTTTGTTTTGATGTTTTAACGTTTCAGTGTTTTGATATTTTAATTCCACTCGCATATTATCTTCATACTTATAAAATTGTTCTTAATCTTAGAAGGGACAACTTTTCTCTTTATTTTCCTATTAGTTGATAATGTTTGCTGGTCATTAAAAGTTTGATGTACTATGCTTCTTAAATTATAATATAATTTGGTAAGTAGTTGGCATTTCTTAATAAAGAAAACATTGTTTTATTTAAGCAACATAAATATAGGAGCAAAGGTA